ATTTTCAAAATTTTCCGGCGGAGCATGGCCCCCGGACCCCTCTAGGAACCTCGCGCCAACGGCGCTCGAGGTCCCCTCAAGCAGTGGGAAGAACCCCCCATTCAAAATCCTGGCTACAGGCATGAAGGGCCTAAGAAGTTAACATCCGCCACCTTCATCTGTCATCCGTCACGAATCTACAATTACTCTCACGATTTCCCGCCCTTTCAAGTACTATATCCTCTTCCTTCTTCAGCTGAGCTGCCCCCATTAACGTTAATTGCCCGCCCTCAGGACTCCCTTTGACAAGAGCGGATGTCTTATTATAGCTCGGAGTCTTGAAAGCTAAACGCGAAGTCACGTTGTCGTGACACGCCGGTCCGCAACTTCGCAAGCCCCCGGCTTTCATCGAAAGGGCACTGAGTAGTGTACGGTGCGCTGGGCGAGAATACTAATTCAGGGGGTTAGTGTACAATATATAGTGAAGGATCCACGAAAACTCAGTAATATAAGATTGTTGACAGATATACCGTAGGAAAAGTTACCAAGTTTGGTGGTTCTGGTGCCGTTCATACTTTATCTGACATCAAATTTGGCATGGGCCTCAAAGCCCACCACCCCTCCTCGGTCTGAATAGAGTTACATCGGATTCCCTCTTTCTGTACAGTGCTAATTAAGCATAACGTCTGGCCCATTCCCTCAATACAATATCAAAACAAACATCAAATGCAACATTACAAGGAAAGAAAAGAATTAAATGGCAAAGATCAGGAAAACACGCATGAAAGGGTGAAGCAATAAAAATCAGAAAACATTCGGCACAGACCCAAGAGGTCCCGGGGTCGAATCCTGCCCGATGCCAACGATCTTGTGCCCTTGGAAAAGGCACTGTACACGACTTTCGAATTCCTCACTTCACTCAGGTGCGTTAGGGATGTCCCTCGTTAAATTTTTGGTAGAGCAATTAGTCTCACGCAATTTGCCCGGCCTTTCAAGTACTATATCCTCTTCCTTCTTCAACTGAGTTGCGCCATTACGAGTACGTTAGGCCACACTGTCTTAATTTTATGGATGACATCCTCTGAAGACCCCTAAACTAATGCGCGCGGGCGAATAAAAAAAATTCCGGCCAAAAATAAAAATGATACTAAACCACGGGAATGCAAAGCTGGTATTGTGGATTTGCGACAGTACATATTATAGCGACGTATACGACAAGCCGGCACATGTGGCTTTTTTTGCGGAATTTATTAATCGGCGTTGTATGTATGTACCGATTCGTGGAGCTTCGGTAGCCTGAGCTGGGTGCCATCCTCCAGAGTTACCACCGGCTCCGTATAATTTGTCGCTAACTACCATGGACTACCCAAGCCTAGAGCTAGGCCAGAGCCTCGGAGGACCTGATGTTTTTTTTTTTTTTTTTTAGAACAGGCGAAAATAAATGTGCGCGCGGATGTCGTCCATAAAATTAAATCAGTGTGGCCTTAATTAACGTTACAGATTAACCCACCGAACTTATCGAAAAGAGTAGAGGACCTTCCTGGTGTGAGCGGTTCAAACCTTACAGTCCAGTCTTGCTTACGCAAATAAACAACCCTTACCATCATGCGCCACTCACTAGCACGTCGGCAGAACGTACTGCACCTGCGCGAAACCCGTAATGTATTGTACTATACATAGCATTTCGGCAGAATGTCTCATACAAGGTTGTATAATATTCGCTCATATAAGGTTAGCATTTCGACAGTAGTTTCCAAATGTTATGTAGGAAAGAATATCCTCTGCAACAGGCAATATTCTGATGCAACGTTGACCAAAAATCCAACGAAAAACGCGAAAATACTGGGTTCTGCGCAGGCGCAGTACGTTCTGCCGACGTGCTCCACTCACTTATCATAATTTTCAACTGGAAATAGCCCCACATTCCAGGCATGACGTCAAAATCAAACAGACATGACGTCAAAATCCAACATGGCGGTGCTAGCTCATGAACGCCAACGAAATCAAAAATTTAAAATAGATTTTTGTTATTGCAAACATGTAATTATTAAATTCCCCATCCAACCTAAAATGGATATTTCATAATGTGTCTGGAACTTTCTGCAAGTGTCCTATCCGGCCGTGTCCCAGGCATTTCTTTCGAGTCTGGGGAAACATCTGCAGTACGCACCTGGTCAATATAGGGGGCGCTTTGAGTGCCGTGCAGCCGCAGTGTCCACTCCAGAAGGTCGCCTTCCTGTGGCTCTTCTCCTTGGAAGCCCACCTCCAACACCCAGTCTCCTGATGAGCAAATTTGAGAGAAAATATTATTTGCATGTCGGAAATAATGCCCAAAATTGAGTGCAGGATAAAATTCATGTCCATCAGGAATTTTTGGACCATGTTGATTTGATTATATGGATGACATCCGATCTCGGAACCCCAAAACTGATGCGAGCGTGCGAATTAAAAAAAGGTTTTGCAAAAAAAAAAAGTTGCTTTCATTATGAAATCAACGTGGTTTTGAAGGTTGAACAAATGACACAGAGTATGGTTTGGCGAATAATCTAGTCTTCAAATTCATTTCTTAACATTTTCGTCTTTTTGGTTGGATTTTGGTATTCTACGACATTGGTATCATTTTCCAATGTTTTTTTTTCAAATTACAGTATATACATCTGCTCATTTTGCAACTGTTTTGTACGATATACAGTATGGTTGAAAACTTTTTTTGAAAACGGCCGAAAATTCATGTCATCCATATAATCAAATCAACATGGCCTAGATGGCAAAATAGCTAAATAGCACATCGACAGAACGAACCACGATTGCGCGAAACTCATAATGTATTTACAGTGCTTCGACAGGACGTCATATTAAAACTCGTGTTCCGGATTTAAGGATGTCATTTCGTCAATAGTTTTCAAATGTTGAGGAAGAAAAATATCGCCTGCAACGGACAAAATTCCGATACAACGTTGACCAAATATCCAACCCAAAAAAATTATCTGCAATAGACAAAATTCCTAAGCAACGTTGGCCAAACATCCAACCAAAGTAAAATGTCCTTGACCTTAGACCTTAGACCTTAGGTCCTCCTGTGCCTACAGGCACATTGGGCAGCAAGTTTCCATCTGGTCCGAGTAGCTGCTGCCTCCTCAGCCTCTTCCCAGGCAATGTTGGCCCTCTTGAGGTCCTCCTGGAAGGTTCTTCGCCAGGTGTTCTTTGGCCGACCTCTCTTCCTTCTGCCCCCTGGTGGCACCCAGGTCATGGCAGTCTTTGAGTGGCGCTGGCTTGATAGGCGTAGGATGTGGCCTGCCAGTTGCATCCTCTTGCCTGTTATAATGTCCCCCAAGGGTTGGGTCTTTGCCCTTCTGAGAATCTCCTCATTAGTGATGTGGTCTTGCCATCTTACTTTCAAGATTCTTCTGAGGTTCCTCTGGTGAAACACATCCAGCTTCTTGGTTAGTTTAGCTGTGCACTTCCATGTTTCACTAGCATATATTGCTGTTGGTAAAACAATGCTGTTGTACAGGCGTAGTTTGGTGTCCAGGTCAATGGCACTGGTTGCCCAGATGGTGCGCATCCTTCGAAACACTGCAGCCGCCTTC